ACAACCATACAATAGGATGATGGGATAGGATGACAGTTTTAAAATCTAATGTCACAGGGTATAGGGAGAGATTGATAACAGAAGCTTTGTTTATCGAATCAACTAGAGATACATGTAATAGGAATGATTCATCACATGTCCCCGATATCTGGAAAATTCTACTACCCATATGACAAATAGGAGAGGACAAAGAAAACTATAAAACTCAAGTGTCAAAGTCGTGTGATCACAATTGATATGATTATGAACAATAAATTTTGTTCGAAACTGTGTCATCCAGTAAATAATACTGTTTCACTGTGTGATATATCAAATAAACAAACTAATATGGAATTACTGACTACCACAGTGCCAAAGTTTTACACATATATTAATGTGGTGGACTGGATTATGTGGAAGTCTGTGCGTTAGGGATGAGAAGACATGAATACGTTGGACCACCGATAAGAAGATTTTAGGAGATCTGGACTTCGCGTGTGGATGATTTATGTTTAATGTCACACAAACTCGAAGACTTACAGGTGAAAAACACCAAGAAGTTGGTAACAGAGGAATGCAGAGAAGACAGGAATTCAGGTGACCACAGAGAAGGCGGAGGTGATGAAGATAACTAACCAACAGCAACAACAACCAGCACCAGTCACTATCCAAAGGAGAAATTTGAAGGAGGTTACTTCCTACACTTATCCAAAAAGGATAGTTTCAACTACAGGCAGTTGGAACGGAGGAAGGTGTCAACACCAGCCAGAATCGGAAAGGCAAGATATGCCTTCGTCAACCTGAAACCAGTTTGGAAATCATCTGCTTCACTCAGCCAGCATAAAGAACAAGATTCGGATTCTATTCAATACCAATGTGAAGTCAGTCAGTTAGTTCTTCTATACTGGTCATGAACTTGGCGTGCTCACCACTAAAAGTATCTCCACCAAGTTACAGGCTTTTATCAACAGCTGCCTTCAATGGTTCTGTACTGAAGATAAAATGACCAGCTAGCTGGCTGGCCAGAAAGAATTAGTAACAAGAAACTCTGGCTGGGAACAAACCAACAGGCTACAGCCAATCGCTCAGCAAATATTTAGGAGTAAATGGAGATGGATTAGGCATACGTTGAGGAGGCCATCAAATGATATCGCACGCTAGGCCATCACTGAAGTGAAATCCCAATGGGAAACGACGAGTGGGTCTTCAGTGCCAGGGTGACATTCTACCGCTGTGCCACTAACGTGCAGTATGAGTAGTTGTTATTATTGCTTTGTTCAAATTAATTAAATAGAATTAGTGTACGCAAGTTATTATATATTAGATGTTAAACGCTTCAAATTCTTGACGTCTTCCAATTTGTCTATAGCGTTTTCAGAATAAAGGTTTTCCTGAAGGATACAATTATTTGATATAAAAGAACCAGTTTGACATGTGCTACTATCAATATTTATAAGTAGTATATAGATATGGGTGCAAAAATATATATTATCTGGAAGAATATCATATAACAGTGAGATGGATTTAATTTTGAAGCGATGAAATGAATGATTCTTGTAAAACATGAAAGGTAGATAAATGAGTACGATACAGAAGACGTGGCTAAATTGGGATTTTGATAGATGGTAGATGCATTTCACCTATTAGTGTACAACAAGTTGCCACTAAATAATTGCGTTACCAAATTACCATTGTGGTTAAGAAACGTAGATGATACTTTTGTAGTGCTAATGTGGTGAGAGCTGTCTACTAGCCAAATTGGTGGACAGTAATTTACGTCAATGTTTACGTCCCCAATATTGGTCATGAGAAAATATGAACAAAGACTGATTCAAAACCGACCACAGTAGACTTTGCGTAGGCGGATACAGTTAACATATAGATGATCTGACATTCAAGAAACAGTCACAAAGAGATGTAAGATTAACTTTAAGGGAGAAACAACCAATCAGAAGACTGTGTTTGTCCGCTTAACTAAACTATAATAATGTACATGAAAATATGTAAATATTCTTTGATTTCCTTAATAAACGATCTGTTGCCTAGCCATTGTCTTCTGTTGTTACACTAAAACTATCTCCACGATTCCTTCTTGGAGAAACTGAGCAATCTATCGCCCACCATCCAGTTTACTTTGGAAGCAGAATCAGACGTAGTTGAACTCTCCGATAACTATTTAGACTTCGGATCATCACACCTATTCAGAGCAAAGTTATCGGTTGTTCCAAGTCTTCTTAGACGAGCACACTCTTTGATAACGGATGAGAAAGCAAAAGAAGAAATAGCAAACATTGCTGAGACTCTCAAGCAAAATAACTACCCGAATAGCTTCATTACCAAAATCTACACTGACAAGGATATGGTCGAAAACGTTTTCCGAAGACATGAACCTCAATAGTTGTCATTCTATATAGATCAGAGATGTCAGATGATAACAGAAGACTACTCAGTAAGATCAATGTCAGATTTTTTTCAAAACGTCAGACAAACGCATTACAAAGCAACCTTATCAGATTAAAAGACCAAATTCCAGAGGATTCACATTGTAATTGTGTCTATAAAATAAAATGATTGGACTGTGTGATGCGATATGTACATCACACAAACCTCACGAAAAATCAAGCTCAGAACAAATGAACACCGTAGAACCCATGCATATTCAACCACCGAGAAATCTAGTTAGTGAAATAGAAAAGCTTGAAAAATCATCATTCACACACTGTAAAATCAGGCCACAAAATTGATCTTGACAATACTGATATCATCTAGAAAAATTTCAGAAATCACAAAGAACGTCTAGTATCAGAAGCACTTCATATCAAGTGGAATCCAAATTGTGTGAATATGAATGATGGACTGAAATAGAATTTGACCTGGTTCCAGCATCTCCCGCCCCGTCGATGAAGTAACGAAATCAAAACAAATGTGGTGTGCGATTTCATCATAAAAGCACATGTGCTATTTTTACAATTTCATACGCTTCTCAAATCCAACAATCTACACATGGTTTTCTTATCTTCAGAGATTGGCCAACTTGACAACGTGAAAATTACCTTGTGGTGGCCCATTTTATTATTCATCCTCGTATTATACTTTCAATGTTTAAATGAACTTTGATTTGTTTATCACTCCAAAGATTGCGTGTCAACGACTGACACATTGTGCCCGCTCAACCATTGAATTCAGCCGTCATCTCCTTAAGTTTCTGCTCCAGGAAAAATCTCGTATTTTTGACGATTAATTTGTTGTTTTGATTTGTCTCTGGTGTCAGTAGAACAAGTATTTTGTGAGTTGGAAGGTAATAATTTGTGTCTGTATACAGCCTATCTTGAGTAACTCTCAACATCCTTTCAAACCAAACAATTATTTTTAGTCATAGTACGATTAGTGTAGAATGTTTAGGCGTACCCCAATGTGTTTTAACTCCTCCATTATCCAGACAGCTGTCACTTTGTCATTCGGTTTCTCTGCGTTGTGGACTGACTTTGTTTAAGATGCCTATTTAATAACGATCTACCCCTCCTAGTTCTATAATCGGCTTTGGAGATTACAAAGGTGATGCATAAAGTTGTAAGTGGTACCTTGCTTTCGGATCTTGTATTTCATACACCACTGATGCCTTCTATGCTTTTAGCTCACGACCATTTTGGCACAAGGAAGGAATAACATTTTGGATTACAATATGTCCAAAAAGAATGAATATTTGAAAAGAGTTTAGAGGAAAACCTCAACGTTATTGTCATTTTTCGTGATTTTACATGATCTTTGTGGACACTAAAAAACAATACCTCTAAGATTCCAAGAGAAGGGGAAGAGTAGAAGCATCGACATTTCCCTGACGTACTATTCTTAATCTCAGTGATGCCATGTATCGTTAGCGTTCTAACATCACGTTTTGGTAGTGTGTGGCCATCATCCTCCCGTGATCCATAGACGATAAATTAATAGTTTTGAGTGACTGCGGATAAGCCATCATTATTATGGAAGTTAAATATTAGATCTGTGTGGCGAGGGATCAGTGGTTTCTGCTTTGATAAATTATTGGAAATTTAACTTCTGAATGTTTTATCAGTACCCTTAAAATCTGAAGTAACATTAATTACTTTAGATTAAATAATAATAACCTGTAGTAAAAACAAAGCAGTTTGACTTCAAGATAAAATGACACTGCCACTTTTTCAGTAGAGAAAAATATGAAGCTGTTATCTACGGAAGTACGTGGAACCTCTTTATTTATAGGAAAAAAGTATCATTTGCCTCACCTATTCACTCACTATCACTGTGTAGTGGAGCAACTTTTGATGTTTACTAAGGAGTGACCTATTTCAGGCCTCTGGCCCTTACTTTTCGCGTTGCAGTTTCTAATGTGTTATGACTGACTATTGCGGTTACCGTTACTTGAGGTTAGGTGGCTGGAGTCTCATGGCAGGATGTTTCATTCTTCCTCTTCGCTATCCAGTTCTTCTCTCTGCTATTCAGCATTCTTCCAGTGGCTGTCGAACATAATACATTGTATACAAAATCGCGTTAGCAACGACTATTACAATTGTGTCCCCGTCGAAGATGCTCCAACCATTCCAGTGCTACCCGCTCTCGTTTTGTATTGGTGATGAACTTTTTTATCCCGCTGTATCTATCTTTGAAGCTGGTTGCAGTTAACACGTTTCTTCTGACAGTATAAACGGGACCTGTCTTGTAGTCTCAATAATCTACACTAATTCTATCTGTTATTATTATCTCTTTCCTTTTGATACGATACGGGAGTACTAACTGGTGAAAGGATCAACTCCATTCACAGTAGCAACACTGTCTTAACACACTACAAACTACAAATAACTAATCCCAGCACCACACTTTTTGGAGTAAACGCAACTACAACAATCGAGTGATGGGACAAACTACGTAGAATTTCACTGAAGACCAGGAACCTTTACCTCACAATCAATAAGCGAGCACAAAGAAATCAATTAGGTTTATACCAGGTCACATGAACGATGTTGGATATTGAAAGGAAAAAGCTTCTACTGTTTTCAAAAGGGTGCGTTACACCTAGTCAGCTGTGCGTTGCGTGCGTTGGTGGGACGTCAGGTGAGGGGCTAGATGTGTTTTACTGAAGTTCGGCAGAGACGTGGCACTCCCTTTTTGATTAGAAACAAACATTCATAATTTTATAAACTTATTGGTGAGGTGTAAAGTGGGCATTTAAGATTATTGTCATGGAAATTTTGGGGAGGTTCCCGGATTTATGTGTCATTTCTTTATTTGCGCTGCATACGCGATTTGCTTTGTTCTTCTGATGCAAGTTTTTTCGCATTGAGAGTGACTAACTAGTCACGCTAGCATTAACTACGGGGTACTTCAGAATGCGCGACTGACTTTGGCTCCACTGCACAGATGCTCTCCAAATCCTGGTCATCATGCCTCAGTTTCTACACTGACGTCAAAGTTTTGCTGGCTGAGATTATTGTTGCATAAATCTAACATTGTCTTCAGGCGAACAATGACTTGTAGTACTTTTAAGTAGTAATATTGGTACATAATTATAATAAAAATTAGTTAGATCATGAGCTGGTATCTGCTTTGGGGGGGGGGGACCATTGGAAACCAAAGAGTGATGGACAGCTGTTTCGTCCTAGTTTCTGACTTTTTGTCAACACTATTCACCGATGACAACGTCACACGGGCTAAAACCGAGAAACTTCTGAGGTTACAACTTTAACCTTTTAACCATTCAGTCACTGAGAAGGAATCTGTCGGCTTGGATCTAAATATATACGTTTTTATGAATGTTCATTTGGGTGAAACTAACTTTGATGTTTTTTTTTTCTCTCTGTAGATTTCGACATACTATTTTGTACATATAATATAGTTTTCAATTTTCTTGAACAGTTCTGTTTTATTTCTTTATTTATTATTTTCCATTTTTTCCATAGCGTTTGCATTTATCACGTTTATTACATCTCAGAAACCCTAATTAATTTAATAAAGTCACCTTTCATTCTTTGAAGAAAGTTTTCTTAGAAGACAATCATGGTACATCTTAAAAAAGGTAAGCTACTTGCCTTTGGATAGAATTTTTATGTGTAAGTTATTACCATTAATACTAAAACATAAACTTGGTATATCATGGGAACCAGTTGATTCACTACACAGTCTCATAGTTTTTAATTACCACCCGGACTCCTTACCGAGGCAGGTGGTTGCCTTAAGGGACCACCCCTGACTTGGGGTCTGATATATAAGTTACTGGAGCTGCGATAGGAGCTACACTCCCATGGTTTCAGGTGGCCAGAACAAGTTTATATGCTATTCGTTCGTTTTGGATCTTGGGGTCTTTGCACACCATAGATTTGGAGTCAGGGTTTCCAGCTCCCTTAGGTAGATCTGCATAAACACCAGTCCACTTCTTTGTGAGTAACATCCTTGCCATGTGAAGGCAGTGAAAGAGGCTGTGAACGCGTGGTCACTTGAAAGCATTTTAGAAGTCTACCTGTCGTTGGCTGTACCAGGTTGTTTATAGAGGCGTATCACCTATAGTATTTTAAAGTAATTGATTTTCACACTGGATTTCATGATATTAATGCCTATTTGAAATTAACTGTTATTCTTCATTTGCTAGCGTTAAACATTCTTCAAAGTTGAATGATGCAGTCAGTTGACTTTTAATAGATGTGCAGTTGTAACTCAGCAGTCAGTCACGTTTATGGGTGGTTGGCAATGAGTCACACCTATTATGTAAGCACTAATGATACTACCTGACTACTTTAACCTCGGTAAATGAAGTGGTTGAGCACCGAGACCAATGATCCACAACTCTAGTTTAAAGCAATTACTTCCATCCATGAATTTCGCCAAAACAATACGAAGACGTATTTTATTTGATACACACGTGTTATGTGTATTCGCGCTACACATTTTGGACATTCCAATCACGCACACACGTATATACACGTGTGTGTGTATAAAAGGCAACAAAGCAACAAAGGATCACAGTTTTTATCTATATAGGTCAAAATGTTTACTGGTGAAGAACACGGATAAGAGGCAAGAAAGTGAAGTGAAGTAAAGAAGAGTGGGTAGGGGATATTATTAGGTAAAATAAACCTTGGTTATAAAGGTGGATTACCAAGGTGGCCTCAAAGTAATAACAAATAATTTTTGAACACATGAAAGGGGTTTAAGCCTTTTCTTTTGGTGAAGGCATCTTTTGACGAATTTCAGCATATAACCCAAACGTGTTTTTTTCATATATGGGTTTAAAGGTACCATTGAAATCAACTATGAGGTGGTTTGCAATGGATGAAGTAGTTGGACATATGCTTCCGGGGTTTGTTGAGTCAGTGATTTTATTTGTTCTTTTGCCTTGACCTGCAGAGACCGACAGGTCCTCCCTATATTCATGTGACCTCACATACATGTAAATTGGTAAACATAGTGGGGGATGTGGTGAGACCGTCGTTCGGATGCTGTGAGCGTTTAAAGGACAGAACCTATAGGTTTCGTTTACTGTGTAAAAATAATTTTAGCTGCTCTGAGTCTTTGTTTAATGATCAAACTTTGGTAATCGCCCGAAATGATTGTGGAAGACATGAAAAGGTCGGCTAGCTGTCTTTGATCATAGGTGTCTGGGTTCTATCTCCAGTGTAAAGTGGTATAATAAGGTGAGCAGTATTGGGGTTAGGCGTCCGTCGAGTGCTGGGTAGGTGGAAGGGGAAATCAATCGACGAGGCTGTGAAGCAGCTACATCGACTGAGATGGTTAGGACATGTGTTACGTATGTCTAGTCATCGCCTTTCTCGACAATGGGCAATGTTAGCTGATATAGGATGAGGCTGGAAAAGAGCTAGTGGTGTGGTGGTCAAACCAAAACATGGCTTAATCAGTCAATGAAATCCACAACAGTTAGACTAAGCCAGCAAGCCAGCTACGTAGGGAGAGAGGTGTAGACTGGCTTCCTGATTGGTTATGGTTCTCGGAACGGTAAAAACCAATGAAGACTGGAGACAATTGGTGATATGGCTCAAAATCGCTGTCAGTGGCTGGCGCAAATGCCTTCACTCTTTGAGATTTGTCAAATCTAATAAAACTCTTTTGTTCCTCCGTATAACTATTTTTTTCCGCCTCGTATTTCTGTTTATTATCTCTGTTTTGAATCTGTTTTTACTCTCTTCTCTTTCTTTGTGTACTAAGCGAAGTGTGGCAACTGAAACTGGTGTACATGTATGCAAAGTTCTACGTTGAAACCAGTCCGTAAGTCAAGTAATCACCCGTAAACGATCCGATAGAATTGCTGTAGTCCTTTGTTTCGCGTTTCAATAAGGTTTGCGAAATATCAGAGGGTAGCTGTTATCTGATATTTTGGTTGCATTACTTATTTTCTTTTCAACCTGTCTTAGTTGCACAATTTAAAAGCCACGGGTTGATCCATGTGCACAATGATATTCCCCTCCGCTTTATTTTTCTGACATCATATTTGTAAATCTCAACCCCGTAAATTCACACTTTGACCTATATTGATTCAGTCTTGATCTTGCATATTCTGTTACCTTTCATTTATAAATGTGTATGACAAGCACGTGTGTGTGTGTGTGTTTGTGATCCGATTGTTTGAAATGCGTTTCGCAAATACATTTGCACGTTTATCAGATAACCTACATCTTCACTATCGTTTTGGCGGAGCTCCAATTTATTAATAGGACTGTTTCATGCCTGTAATCCCCTAATACGATTATGAAAAAAAAGGTTTAAAACAACTACACCGTATTGTTTTTGTTGCTGTGATACGTTTTTCTTCTGTTGAATATTTCAGGTGATCCAGAACCTCCAATTGATCCTAGCAAGTATACACTATTCGCTTATCGATTTTGTCCATTCTGTGAACGTGTCAGATTGACACTGAATTATCATAAAATTGAGTAAGTTAACAAATTGTCAATCTGTTAAAATTTGGGTCATATTACGTGATGTGTGACGACGGCTACTCTAACTGTTTTGATGATCGATTTTTTAATGGTGTGGTGGTCATGTCTTTGTAAATTTGTCTCATTGGAACAGTATTATTCGGTTTATTTTAAGGTGTGTGAAAAATGTAATTTACTCTTGAGTATCTGTCCATTCATTGTGAACTTTAAAAAAAAAATTCAGTGGTGAAAAGGAACAGTGGGTGTCAATTTCAATTTTAGGAGTATTTTATTCACGGAACTAGTGCCCTTTTAAAAGGTATTTTCACCTTGTACAGACTATCTGTTGTAAGTGACAGGTGACTTTTCTCAATTTCTCTTGTCTAGAAAGATAAGAACGTTTAAGATTCTAGCTGGAATGTTCCTTCTAGCTATCGATCAAAGGATACGTGTATTGTACAACAGTTCACACCGTTTTTCTTTACAACTGTGAGAAATTGCTGTTTAGGTTTCACAGCCTCATCGATTGAGACAGTTAGGATGTGTGTTACTTATGTATGCCTACGTATGCCAAGCCATCGCATTGCTAGTCGAGCAATATTAGTTGACATATAATTAGGTTGGAAAAAAAGGTAGGAGTGGTCGAATCAAGATATAATATCAATCCATCAAGTCCGTCCGACTTAGAATATGCGGACGATATAGTCCTTCTAGGCTAGGACGCTGACAAAATGCAGAGTCTACTGAACACCTTGAGCAACAATCTTCGTATGTTTGGCATGCGATTCGCCCCTGTAAAATGTAAAATGATGCTGCATGATTGGACTTCACCGACCCCTAGATTAGAAATAGGAAGTGAAGTGGTAGAGCACGTTGACCACTTTACTTACTTGGGAAGTACCATCAGCCCCAACGGGTTGATCTCCGACGAAATCTCAGCAGGAATACAGAGGGCTAGGTTCGCATATGACAGTTTACGCCGTCTCTGGCGTAGACGCGATATCCGACTTTCGACCAAAGGGCGTGTGTACTGCTCAACAGTCCGCTCCGTCCTCCTTTATGGCTGTGAGACCTGGCCATTGAGAGCAGAAGACATGAAAAGATTATCTGTGTTCGATCATAGGTGTCTGCGTTCTATCTCCCGCGTGAAGTGGTATAATAAGGTGAGCAATATTGAGGTTAGGCTTGCGTCGAGTGCTAGGTAAGGCGGGGAAATCAGTCGACGAGACTGTGAAATTACATCGACTAAGATGGTTAGGACATGTGCTACGTATGCCTAGTCATCGTCTTCCTCGACTGACGGGCAATGTTAGCTGATATAGGGCCAGGCTGGAAAAGAGCTAGCGGCGGTCAAACGAAAACATGGCACCAGTCAATGAAATCCACAACAGTTAGTTTAAGCCAGTCACGTAGGAAGGTGTTGACTTCCTGGTTGGGGTCCTCGGGACAGTAAAAACCAATGGTTGGAAACGATTGGTGACATGGCTCAAAATCGTTCTCAGTGGCGCAGATGCATCCACTCCTTGTGACTTATGATTTCCAATTAAACCGTTTTGTTCTCCGCTATTACTATTCCTTTGTCTATATTATGCATTTCTTCTACTTTCTTCTCTTCCTTTGTGTGTTACATGGAGGGAGTGTGGCGACTTGAACTGCCGCACATATGTGCAAAGTTCTATGTCGAAAACCGACTGACCGGCCGTTAACTGTTGGTTTCAGTGACTGTAGCAGATGGCAAGATGCTAGGAATCAGTATCTGCAGACTATCAACGTCATAGCTCGAAATGGTCCTCAGTGGAGCAGATGCATTCACTCCTTTGTAATCTTTCAGATTAATCAAGTTCTTCTAATTGTGCATGTTTTTTAGAAAAAATTCCTTTACGTTCCCAGTGGAAAATAGGGCTTCAAGCTAGAGGCTTAAAGTTTCACTAGCAGTGTTATTTATTTTTTACGAGTTGGGGTTGCTACCCGCATGCCCAACCTTCCCTCTTTACCAGTCTTATTACTGCTACCTTAGCTAGGTGTAGGAGTGTGTCGGTGATCGAGGATCGAACTCAGGACTATATGAGTGGTTGGTGAGCATTCTACTGCTGTGCCACGACGCACAATTGTGTGTATGTGTGTAATTGCTCCTTCTCTTGTACATTTCCGTTTACTACAGTTTAAAAAAAAATTTCTGCTATCATTTTTTATACCTTTATGTGTGCTTTTGTGAAATGTGCCAACTTGAAGTGCTTGACTTTTGTGCAAAGTTCTACTCTGAAAGTTCAATTCAGTACATATCTTAGGTCGTTATGTTGTATATTTGTAATTATAGTCTGTCATAATCACCTTTCGATGTTAACTCTTAAAGATTACTTCTTAATCACTGTTTTGTCATGGTGTTGCGTGCTTTATTTGACTAAATCAGCCTACACGTATTTCTTAGTACTTCTTCACCTTTATTAATGTGCATATACGTTGTAGCTACTCAACGTTGAAGCTTGCGTGGATTTAGGGTGTTGGCACGTCGTTCAGCTGGTCTTTATCGTTGACTTCGAAATTGTCGATGAACGCTGGTTTGACTCTGTCGACACTGATGGCTTCTGCTTTATTCAGTCGTTCTATCGTGATAACTTTAGCATTTCTATTTAAAACTTTGAATGGGCCATCGTAAGCGGGTTGAAGTGGTCGTTGTACACCTTGTCTCCTGACGAAGACGTCAGTGCAATCTGTCAGTTGTGGCGTGATGTATGACGCTCGTTCCTGCTGGTGTGGAAGTGATATCTTGAGCTCGTTCATATGTTGTTTTAGCTGGTGCACGTAACCAGTCATATCGTGTGGAACTTGGTTACCACTCTTGTCTCATTATCATTAAAACACGAATGGTTAGAATGTTAAGTTTCAGCCTATGCAATTCTCCAGTCTGTTTGTCTGAATGACTGATTGGATTTTAACCCAGAATTTTGCACAGAAGTATAGTAGTTCAAGCTGTCATACTCTGTGTAGCCCACAAAGGTAGACAAATGGGATAGAAGAATAGATTCAAAGGGACTATAATAGCCGTTGGTTCTTACAGTCTGGAGGAATTCAACCAAGCAGGCTACATCTGCTTGCGGGGGCTCAAACCAACTGTCAAAGTTTTCATGGACTAAAGTCAGGTTTATTCTCCGGTCTACTTTAATAGATGCTTACTTTTGAATGTCTCCTTAACCGAATGAGACTTGCTGTCTATCTGTCTGTCTGTTTTCGACATAGAACTTTGCACCGATGTGTAGCAGTTCAAATCGGTACACTCCCTTCATGTAGCACACAAAGCAAGAGAAGAAATGCAAGATAGAGACAGTAGACAGGGATATGAGACAAAAGGAATAGTAATATCCGAGAATAATACAGTTTTGTTGGATATTATAAGTTACAAGGAATGGATACATCTGCGCCAGCCATTGAGAACGATTTTCAGGCATATTACCAATTGTCTCCAGCCTTCACTGGTCTTTACCGTCCCAGGGACCACAACCAGGAAGCCAATCTGCACCTTCCTACGTGGCTTAAACTAACTTGTGGATTTCACTGACTGATGAAGCCATTTTTCGGTTTGACCACTACACCACTAGCTCTTTTCCAGCCTGACCTTATGTCAGCTAATATTGCGCATTGTCGACGAAGGCGATGGCTAGGGATGTATGCGTAACACATGTCCTAACCATCTCAGTCGATGCATCTGCTCCACAACTTCGTTTATTGATTTCCCCTCCCACCAACCTGGCACTCAACGGATGCCTAACCCCAATATTGCTCACCTTATTATACCACTTCACACTGGAGATAGAACGCAGACACCTATGATCAAAGACAGCTAGCCAGCAAGCCTTTTCATGTCTTCCACTCTCAGTGGCCATTGTCTCACAACCAGCCACAAAGGAGGACGGAATGGACTGCTGAGCAGTACACACGCCCGTGATGCCAAACACATAACGCTAAATATTAACATGATTCAAACAGCCGTTTCGTTAACATGACTCAATCTAATGCTTAGGGTAATATAGCTCAAAATAGTTCTCAATGGAACAGGCTGTGAAGTCATACATCGATTGAGATAACTAAGATACATGTCGTGCCTAATGAGCCACTGACTTCCTTGTCGTGCAGTGTTAGTTCACATCTGATTACGTTGTATAAAAGAGTCAGGGTTAATCATATCAAAACATGTGATGAATTCATGAAGTCTTTGATTGTTGCTTAGAGCCAAATACGCAGGGTGGTATAAGTTTCTTCGTTGGTATTCGTGAGATGCTATAACCGAATGGCTAGAAACTGTTGGTGATATGGCTCCAAATCGTTTTCATTGGCCCAAAGTTCATTTACTTTACGCCATCGCCAAGATTCATGAAATGCTCATATTTCTTCATATAATAGTACTTCCTCCGTTCATTGGAATTAGATTCTCTGCTTTGTTTGTGATGTGTGGACTGTGAAAACTGGGAGTGCTGTACTTCTGTGCAAAGTTTTAGGATGAGTGCTCAATCAATCTTAGTAAATCATCTTTTTCGTTTTGTGAGTGTCATTGTACTGTTCACATCCACGTGGTACAAGCTGAGGTGTGTAACCTTCGGTCTTCCTCTCATGTGGCCATGTGTTCCAAGCGTCTGCCAGGGAAATCCTGTTCGCTATCTTCACTAAGCTGGGGTGCTCCTCACAAAAGTGGAAGGGTGAATATCCGAACATCTGGCAGACTGGTGGACATGACAGTCTGCCTAGGTGAGCTGGAAATCCCTGACTCCAAACCTATGGAGTACATAAACTCCAGAATCCGGAGTGATCTAATGATGTATGAACTTGATTTGGTCACTGAAAGCTCCTGACACTGCTCCACTGACTTGTGGTTTAGAGGCCTCGGGTGGGGGAGGTGAACCCTCAAGGTAACCACTTGCTAGGGGGCGTCGGTGTATCAGGGATAAAATGTTCGCTGACCATGCATGTGGTCCGGGGTTCTATCCCCGACCGACGCACTCCTAAACCCCTCTCAGCCGGTAGTAAGACCGGTAAAGAGGGAAGGTCAGGCGTGAGGCTAGGAACCCCACCCCGTAAAAGTAAACATCACTGCTACTAAAACTTCAAGCCTGTAGCTTGAAGGTGCCCTATGTTCCACTAGGAACGTAAAGGAATAAAATAAAATAAATTACTTCAGTGTGGGGGCGCGGGAATTATTACGGTCCTCGCACAAATTATGAGATTTGTGTATGGCTCATCTTTTGGTGCCCATGATGTACCGGTGTTATGTTTCCATGTGTATTCTTAACTGAACTTAACGACTTAGGAATCGACTTGTTACCAGGAAATAGTCTTATGGACTTAGGATATGCAGATGACATAGTCCTGTTAGGAGAGGTTGCTGACAAAATGCAGAGTCTTCTGAACACCTTGAGCAGCAATCTTCGTATGTTTGGCATGCGATTCACCCCTGCTGTCAAATGTAAGATGCTGCTACAGGACTGGACTACGTCAACTCCTAGCTTAGTGATAGGGAGTGAAGTGATAGAACATGTTGACCACTTCACCTATTTGGGAAGTTGTATCAGCACCAACGGATTGATTGGTGACGAAATCTCAGCACGGATACAAAAAGCTCGGGCTGCTTTCGCTAACTTACACCGTCTCTGGCGTAGGTGTGACATCCGGCTATCAACCAAGGGACGTGTGTACTGCTCAGGAGTTCGCTCCGTCCTTCTCTTTGGCTCTGAAACATGGCCAATACGAGTTGAAGACATGAAAAGGTTGTCTGTTTTTGATCATAGATGTTTACGATCTCTTTCTCACGTTAGGTGGTATAATAAGGTAAGTAATGTCGACGTTAGACGTAGAGTGTTGAGCAAACAGGGAAAATCAATCGATGAGGCTATAAATTACATAGATTGAGATGGCTAGGTCACGTGCTGCGCATGCCTGGCCATCGCCTCCCCCGACGGGTATTACTAGGTGATATAGGTGCAGGTTGTAAAAGAGTAAGTGGTGGCCAAACAAAAACATGGCATCAATCCATGAAATCCCTGACAGTTAAACTGAGTCAGGTAGGAAGGGAGATGCAGACTTCCGGGTTGGGGCCCTCGGGACTCTAAGAATCAATGGCTAGAGACAATAGGTGACATGGTTCAAAATCGTTTTCAATGGCGCAGATGTATTCAGTCTGTTGTGTAATCTTTCATATTCCTTTCTACCATTACTCATTCTGTTTCACTCTTATACTTGTTAAAACTCTATTGATTCTCTTCACTGATTTTTTTGTCAACCTTTGTGTGTTATTTGGAACGTGTCAACTCGAACTGCTGAACTTCGGTTCCAAGTTCTATGTTGAATCCAGAGAGAGAGATAGGTGTTATGTTTTAATAATACTAACTGTAATAATAATAATGGCACTTTACTGTGAAAATTTTCGTTCTTTTTCAGTTATGATTTACGTCTAGTCTCATTGAATGATAAACCAGACTGGTTGCTGAAGTATTCACCACAGGGTAAAGTTCCCCTGCTTATTAATCAAGGTGACAAACTGTTGGAATCGGATTTAATTATGCGATTTGTTGATGAATTACGTGGAGAAAAATCTGCTCTGATGACAGTCTGTGGTCCAGAAGTTTTTCAACAAGCCGCTGATTTGGCTAAAAAGGTTTGTTAGCAAACTTTTTTTTCAGGCATTTAATAACAGTTTTGTTCGCGACTTTAAAAAATGATATAAAAAGTAGAATTATCGACTGTATTGATTTTCCAGCGTAGACTTGTTAGCAGTCTCATGCGCCCAACATTCCCTCTTTTTCCGGGTTTAGGACCAGGTAGTAAATTAAGTAACAGTTTGGACACATGGGTTCGAGCGTAACACAGAGGACATCGTGTGGCGAGGGTAATAAAAGCTTATGGGATAATCGTGAAAGTAGCTGAAGATGTCCGTTGAGAACAGGATGAAATGGAGATGTGCCGTTGAATCGATTATACTCCACTCGGAACCCACTTCAGATGATAACGGAGTGACTTTTCATCTGAAGTGGTGACAACCAGTGGTGTCCCTCAGGGATGTCCACTGTCCCCATAAATTCTGTTTAATTTCACCGTAGATATGTGCTAATGGAATCAACCCTAACTTCTGACTTCACCGACTCAGGAATTGACTTGCTATCATCAGGGGATAATAGTCTCGTAGACTTAGAATATTCAGATGATATAGTCCTCCCTGGTAGGTGAAGACGCTGACAAAATAGAGGAGTCTTCTGAACACCTTGAAGAGCAGCAATCTTTGAATGTTTCGCATGAGATTTGCTCCCCTTGACAAATGTAAGATGATGCTACAGGACTGGTCTACCTCAACTCAATCCCAACTTAAGGATAGGGAGTGCAGTGGTCGGTGGAGCGTGTTGACCACTTCAGTTATTTGGGAATTTACATCAGCAGGCCCCAACGGGTTGACCGTTGACTAAATCTCAGCACGGATACAGAAGGTTCGTTTGGCATATTCCCACCAACTTACGCCATCTCTGACTTAGTAGACGTGATATCCGGCTATCGACCAAAGGGCGTGTGTACTGCTCAGCAGTCCACTCCGTCCTCCTTTATGGCTGTGTATGAGACCTGGCCATTGAGAGTGGAAGACATGAAAAGATTAGCTGTCTTTGATCATAGGTGCCTGCGTTCGATCTCCCGTGTGAAGTGGTATAATAAGGTGAGCAATATTGAGGTTAGGCGTCGAGTGTTAGGAAGGTGGAAGGGGAAATCAATCGACGAGGCTGTGAAGCTACATCGACTGAGATGGTTAGGACATGTGTTACGCATGCATACCTAGCCATCGCCTTCCTCGACAATGGGCAATGTTAGGTCACATAGGATCAGGTCGGGAAAGAGCTAGCGGCTGTCAAACGAAAACATGGCACCAGTCAATGAAATCCACAACACTTAGTTTAAGCCAGCCACGTAGGAAGGTGTAGACTTCCTGGTTGGGGTCCTCGAGACGGTAAAAACCAATGGTTGGAGACAATTGGTGACATGGCTCAAAATCGTTTTCAATGGCTGGCGCAGATGCATCCACTCCTTGTGACTTATGATTTCCAATGAAACTGTTTTGTTCTTCGTTATTACTATTTTTTTGTCACACACCTCTGTTTACTGTCTATATTATTATGCATTTCTTCTACTTTCCTTTCTTGCTTTGTGTGCTACATGGAGTGTGGCGACTTGAACTGCCGCACATATGTGCAAAGTTCTTCGTCGAAGACAGGCAGACAGACAGACTGTGATCTGATCAGATGTTCAGTGTTATGTTGTTTGAAATCAATTCGAGGACCAATGAAAACCTCCAGGGAGTACTGAACAGCTGTTTTATCCTAGTTTGGGACTCGTCTTCAGTATGCGCCCATTACCAACCCCTCACACACAGGATCGAACCCAGAACCTTCCGGTTTCAAAGCTAGTTTGTTGATCATTCATCCACTGGGACGGAATCCAATGAGACCGGTCCATCAATTCTGACTTCTACGAATTTGTGGTATAAAGCGTGACATCCAGCCAATATTATCAGCGAGTATTTGTCCTCACACCAGACAACTTTGTGGACTCTGCTGGTCACAACTTTACTGGTTATTGACTACAGGATGAAGTTACCTAAAGTTCGAGTGAAAAGTCGTGATTAGCGGGGTCCATCGAGTTGTTGGGTATGAAGACAAATACTCGTCGATAAGATTGGCTGGTCGTGTATATTTATCCTGTGAGAAGGGCAAATGATACTGCCCATTTACCCTACGTGAATTAGGTGGAGTGGGTCTCGGACCTAGGGTGCATTTAACTAGAAGCTGAGTGCTGAACGCACATGTTATCACAATTAGGTATGGGTGTGCAGTAAAGTCTGTGTAGTACTGTGGTGAGAGCTGGCTGCTAGCCAAAGTTGGTAGACAGTAATTGACGTCAATGTTTATGTCCCCAATATTGGTGGTAAGAAAATGAGAACAAAGGCTTTGCGTAGGCGGATACACTTAGCATATGGATGATCTGACACAATCACAAAGAGATGCAAGGTTAACTTTCTGTGAGAAACAACCAATCAAAAGACTGTATTTTCTACTAACGATAATCTACAATAATGTACATTAAAACATATAAATATGTGTTGATTTTCCTTAATAAACGATCTGTTGCCTGGCCCTTGTCTTCTGTTGTTACAGTACTACTGAAATACGTTTTTTCCTTATTACTATGTAATTACAATACTATTCAAAATTATTGATTTTCTCTTCCTTGCTACCAATAAATCCAATGGTATTTTTCTGTCTTCTTAATTTTTCCAGTTTTTCAGTCCTGGACATGTAATATTGTTTGGAAAAACTTTCAGCGATTCAGATGTGACACGATTTCGTGAAGCATGCTCTGAATTGGATCAGTCGATAAAGAATAAATACTTTGCAGGTTAGTTCCCGCTTTTTTTTTACTTCAAAACGTGTACTCATTATAATTTGGTTTTTTGTGATATGCTGTCCATGTGGATTATTGCACGTTGTATGTGTGTGTGTTTGTTAGTAATCTGTGTACTTTATCAGCTTATATGTTGATTGAATGTTGATTGATCGACTGAAGCTCTTGGTCCCGGTTGACAAGTCGGCTCCTACCTAGTACAAATGCTGAGACGCTCGCCTTTAGAGATACACATGAAATGTTATTTGAATGTTGGTGTCTAGCAGTGCAATCCACGATGTGTGTTTCTTTCTGTTTGAGATTCTTTACCTGGGTGTACCTGCACCTTCTTTCAGTGAGTGGCAATGTTGTTCCTGAAACCAGCCCCCATCGTTTCAAACCCTCAACGTGTTGTTGAGTTTCAGTAGGAAAACTATGACTCACTACGGAGGGAGATGTAGGTTTATTCATCTAGCTGGATAGTTCGAAACAGAGAGGAAACGCACCTCCTAGATTCCTGTGGTGTAATCACCGCCAACCACGTAACCTTATGATGCGTATCTAGGATTTAAGGGAGAAATATGCATGTAACAGTTACTTTTCATTTATCAAGAAGAAAGAATTCAGATTTTTTCAGTGAATGGCCCTCATAAACCACGTGGGACGGCCTACTTTGAGTGGGTGGACTTCAATCTTCCTCTCAAAATGCTCTCATGTGGTCATACGCTTTCACGGTCTCTGATAGGTAAGTCCTATCTATCTGCCTTCATATGGCGGGTGGGGTGGGGATAAGCTTGTACATCAACTGGCTGTATAAACGCAACAAACGTGTATGTTTTCCTTAAGTTTTATAGTTACCTTTCCATTGAAAATTCTACAGTGTTCGGACTTTACATCCCTCAGATGACATTAGTCTTGTTTCCCAACCAAAGAGACCTGAGTCAGGTGTTTCATTACCACAAGTTAGCACCAAACTCTTCTATCTCGAACAGAAAGTTGAACTCAAGCGTGCCACAGGTCCTCACTCTCTGATGGGTAGGAGGTCACAAATGCTCTACACCTGACAGTTAACAATAAACCACTCCCCCAATGTCGGTCAGCCAGGTGCAGAAAGTAGATGATGCGTTTTTTATAGGTTGACCCCAAGTAATACATCTTTGCTAAAGGGCGAGGTGATATGTAGACAGAAAAAATCCTTAATTGGTGATATATCGATCAAGGTCAGTCTGGAAACGGACCAATCAGCATTGGCCTACGTAAAATGACGTCCATTATTCTATTGGTCATGATTAATAATAGTAATAATAATAAATTTATTCTTTCGTGTTCCCAGTGGAAATTTGAGCTGTTGAATTTTCAGTAGCATTGGTGTTATTTTCTTGTGTCCATCCTTTCCTCTCTCCCAGTCTTGCTATCGGTTAAGCGAGGTTTAAGAGTGCGTCCGTTGGCGGAGGATCGAACTCCGAACCACTTGCATGACTGGTGAACATTCTACCGTTGAACCAACAATGTGTCCGGTCTAATAAACCAGAGAGTGCTGGACGGTTGTTTCGTCCTAGTTTGGGACTCTTCACAGTATGCACCCAGAGAGTTTCCAGTCGCAAGGCGAGCTTTTCCAGCTCAGCATCCCTGTTTCAATCTCAGTATTATTTGATACATGAAAGTGATAACATTCATAACACTAAATAAATCATTATGAATAAATTTCATGTCTTATTTATGAATTATTGATTTTTTTACAAAAAATTCTTTATTTCTATTTTATTTAGGTGATCAATTAAGTCTAGCCGATCTGGTTCTCTTCCCTTTGATTGATCATTTCGAAGCCATTTTAGGTGTTATACACGGCACTGAACCAGAGAAAGTTCATGAATTCAAATTAGATGAACCTGGTGGTGGTGAGGCGGCGCCGGCTAGTCAATGGCCATGGTTAGTGAAATATTTGAATACGCTTAGACAAGAATCATTTATTGCTGATAGCCGTAAAACAAGTCAATTGTTGGCGAGATATGCTGCCACTCAACGATCTGGATGTCCAAATCCTGAGATCAATTAAGTGAAGACATGGCGGGACGGCTTTGGCTGGACTCTGTTGTCAATGGCGCTTGTTGTTATGTTTGCTTTTATGGTGAGTGCTTTAGTGAAGCAATTGTGGAATGGAACATTTAGTGAGTGTTTGTGTGTGTGTGTTGTTTTGAACTCTCTTTGCCTCTTCTAATAAGACAATCAGTAGTCATTTTATTTATTTTTGCTTTTATATTGATCCTTATTGATTTATCGATTTCATTCCAGTGTTTATTTATTTGTTTTATTTTATTTTGGATCCTTCGAAGAGATCTGTTCTTATTTTAGTATTTTTTTTAAAGTACACATATCTGTTGGCGTGTTTGTGCGTGTATGGCTTTGGCTGTTTCCGATATTCACTAGAACCGGAGTATTAATCTACTTTTTGTCTTTTGTTGTTGTTGTTCTAAAGCTTTCTTGTGATAACCGTGCTCATTTCACTTTCACTTCTTATGAGTTGCTCTTGCTGCTGGCGCTACTACGTTACTGCTTAGTACGTAATATTCTATTTATATAGTCTTTCTACTTTTGCCTAGTGTATACCTACCTATCTGTTGGTTGTCAACTTATCTTCGTTACATGTGTTTTAATTAGAATAGAAATGTGTGTTATGTGAAGTGTTGAGAATAAAGAATTTTGTCTGAATGTCTACAGTATGCTCTTATTATTACTATTACTACTACTATTTATTCCGTTGGGTTCCAGTTGGAATATATGGACATCAGCAGTACACCTCCATTTCATCAGTACACACCCACAGAAGTTCGGACCCCGGACCTTCCAGTTTCGAGGCCACCTCGTAGACCATGAAGCCACTGAGACCTGGGATTCTAGTGAGAAGTTGTTATCAGCTGGGTCCACTAAGTCATGAAGCAGGGCAGTTACTCACCCATGTCACTGGCTGGCGGTTGCTCTAGATATATAAAACGAATTGGCAGAATTTGGAATTCATGAACCAATGGTTCGCGTCCCATTGGTTCAATGGTCTGTGAGCTCGCCTCATGTAACTGTTAGGTCCTGGTATCGATCCCCGTTTGGTGAGTACTGCTGAAAAGTCCCAAACTATGACAAAACAAAGGTCCAGTACTCTCAGGTCTTTCAGTGGTTCTCTAACTGATATCAGCTCGTTATCAATACTGTAATTAAATACTGCTAGGTACTTCATCTGTATCATGAGTTTATTAATTTTCTTCACTTCAAATTGTTTGACAAAACGAAACAAAAATAATTAGTCACTTAATTAAAATGCCTGTTTACACTCCTTTTCTTCACTTATTCTGATACAGAATAGGTATCATATAATCTTAAGGACATTGTGAAATGATTGCGTCAGTCTTAATACTTTTCTGAAAACTAAGTCATCCCTCATCATCAGAATTCCTGACTATTTAGAGGATTCCTGGATTTTTATTGATTTCATGAAGTGATTTCAATTAGGGAACAATTTAAAAAACCATGGGGTACCAGTTAGCTGTTTCGCGCCAATGTAGGAATATTCAGCAATACAAACCTGTGGTCCTACCGACCAGGAATCGAAACTGGAACCTCTAGATAACGGCGCGAGCACCTTCACCATTCAGACACTGAAGTGGAATCCAATAGCCTTTGAATTCGAACTTCCTATGATAAAATCAATATATACAACAGTAAAGACTCAATGTATATTCGTAAGAGAGAACGCAGAGGTATCTATCCAACAGTAGAATTCATTATTTCGCCAGTATGTTTAAATGTATCAATAATAATAGTTATTATTACTATCAATATTGCAGCGATAATGGCCTTATTCTAAACAATTATTTTCGATACACTGTGGAATTCTCAGCTTACAGTACAATATTCCAACTAATATTCTCTGGGGATTACATCATAAACTTAAATATGATTACAGAACTTCATTATGTTTACAGTAATGAGAATAAAATATAAGTATTAAAACAAGTTATAATTTAATCGAAATATTGGCAACAGCACATTAATGAGAGGAAGCATGGAAAGAGTCGTTTATTTACTCTGTCACACGCTAAGTTAGCCATTTCATGCCTAACACATCTTTTCACTGCACAAAAGGCCTGAAAAATAAGGTATCAGTGAGTTATTACATTAAGTCATGTGAGTGTAAAGTTCTTCCTAATTTCCTCTTGTTCTACGTGACAATATACAAGTTGAATACTTTTGATTAGAGACGGTACTCAGAGTTCGATATAAAAGGACTTTCAGAAGAGAAAACATTTGAGCATATTCATCACTGGATTTCCAAACATCATCCTGCATCTTGGATAAACATGACAAAAATGATGTTTATTCGTAGCTCTGGTTTAGCACGCCTGTTGTAGACACTGAACCTAAAGTAGCAGATGTGAACAAGGTATTTAAAGTTACCTATCTACTGTATTCCGACTAATCTTCATTTTACGTTACGAGTCCATCTTCAACAGACAGCTAAAACTATCAGAATCCATCTGAAGAAGCCGATATTATACATTGACAAGAAAATCGTACAAATGCTTCTCTTACCTAGGCCATCACTGTCTTGACTACCTCTCATTGCTCCTTCTTAATTTTATCCTATATTCAATTCACCATTATATGATGACGAAGAAAATGAAAAGAATATTCCTTACTCAATCCATCTGTAGTTTGCAATAACTTCTATCAATTCCTTGCATAACTTCAAATGTCTGTCAGCAACAACACCAACATGTTGACTTACGACACACAACGATTACCCAACTGAGAGCTTTTAGTGTCCTTCACAATGTAACAAAGTCTTTTTCGTAAGTAACGGGAAAAATTTGAGGGGAGAACACTGAGGAAATAGCAGGTCAGATATATTAGACAACATGCTGTAAAAGTAGAGGCTATATTACACCAGAGCGTCATAACGTCTCTTACGTATAAGCTGAGATGAAATGGTTTTCTAGAAATCACCAGAATGTGAGACGACTGCTAAAATGCAAAGGAAAAGCTTAATCGAATATGCTTAATATTTAGCTTAGTTTCTACTTCACTACAAGAATCACAATAAAGAACCAGTCGGTGTAAGTCCTGTTTATTATTGTCTTAAAGTCGGATGAACACTGTATTCTTCGTTTTGTTTCCTTTCTGTTGAATTCATGCATTTTAATCGATCGTTTCCCTCACTCACCTAATATATACTACTTAAAAATTCCTTTCAGCAATTACAGAACACGATGAAGACAGCATTCAAAGTTATCAATAAGGAAGAACAATTTCTGCCTAATACGCCTTCTGGTAGCAGTATAAAATTTGAGGTTTGTCAGTGGTTAATACTTCTTCAATTCATAATCTTTCACAGCACGAAACAACATACACTACTGAATTAATTTATTAATTAGTAAAGGCACTTTCCAACGCTTCTTTTTCATTCATTCATTCATTCACATGAAGGGAATTACTCATAAAAATTATTAAGAATACTGTGAAATAAAAGAATCGATTTTTAATATTATTGTGATCATGAAGTCATCTTTGAATGTACTTGATAAAATAAAAGATAAATTCTACTCAAGAAAGTGCATTCAACAATATACTTCCATAGCATATATATAACCACCATAAAAGTACACAATATTTTAATAATAATTTAACCAGTTCAATCTTCTCTACCCATTGATCAATGTTCAATGTGATTTGTGTTTAAATCAAGTGCATAATTTATAGAATATTGTAATTATTTTGCTTCTAAATAAGATTACATGAAAAGCCATTTGGTATTCTGCATTATCTAACAATAGAATAGCAGTAGAATTTATTTGATTTGCAAGTTTTATTTATTTATGAGGCCTTGTCAGATGTACTACCTCAGTTATGCAACAGTAAATTACCGTATACATGCGCATACAATGTACCCTACATATATCCTTTGAATAGTTTGTGAAACTAATGCATTCATCGATATTGTAGTTGTGGTTACACAGACTCTAAAACTTATATGTGAAAATCAACCGGCTGACAGAAGAGGCCATCAGTGAATACAGGACTGCAAGTGAACATAGAGCAGACAGAGAGATGATGAGGTTAACCAATCACTATCAACAGGAGAGGTTTGAAAGAGGTCAATTCCTTCACGTATCTGACGAGGTCGTAACGTTTGAAATGAAGGTAGGCAGTACGGATGAAGACGTCAAAGCTAACCAGCATCAGAAGGGCAAAACAGACCTTCGTCACTGTGAAATCAGTTTACAAATCTAGTGTACTCAGCACAAATTATGAAATTCGAATTTCCATCACCAATGTTAAGTCATTCATCACTCCTGTGTGCGTCACGGGAAGATCAACAGTCGCCTTTACTCCATAATGAACATAAGATGGCCAGCCAGTGTGGACCGACCAAGAGTCGAACCCCGGGCCACGTGCATGATTGGCGGGCACTCTACCACTGAACCACCCACGCTTGTCATATCAGATCAGATCACTTGAGACCTTGTCATATGTTCTGATGGTGTTTCCGTGAATTGCCGATAGTAGTGGGATAGTAAGCGACCTAATGGTTGTGTGCCAAGTGTGAAAAAGGCTGTGTGCTTTATGCATGCGCTTCGCCCTGAATACATTTGAATGGAGGTGGGGTTGGCAGAGTGGGGTATACATATTGTATTCTATTTCTTGACTTTTTATTATAATAATGATCTTGTTTATCTAACCCACTGATCTTAACTCACTGAATTAGCTTCAAATCATTTCTGAATGCTTACTTGTATATTATTACATAGTCGTTTCATTTTGCTGTATGTTGCTATTCATTTAGTACTTTTGTTGTCAAATCAGCCACCGAAACTTCGTAAATATCCGGTCGGTCGGTCGGTTTTCGACATAGAACTTTGCACATATGTGCGGCAGTTCAAGTTGCCACACTCCCTCAATGTAGCACACAGCAAGAGAAGAAGAAAGTAGGAGAAATGCATATTAGAGACAGACAGTAAACAGAGGTGTGAGACAAAGGTATAGTAATAACGAAGAACAAAACAGTTTCATTGGAAATCATAAGTCACAAGGAGTGAATGCATCTGCGCAAGCCATTGAGAACGATTTTGAGCCATATCACCGATTGTTTCCAACCATTGGTTTTTACCGTCCCGAGGACCCCAACCAGTCAGGAAGTCTACACCTTCCTACGTGGCTGGCTTAAACTAAGTGTTGTGGATTTCATTGACTGGTGAAGCCATGTTTTGGTTTGACCGCCGCTAGCTCTTTTCCAGCCTGACCCTATGTCAGCTAACATTGCCCGTTTGTCAAGGAAGGCGATGACTAGTCATACACGTAACACATGCCCTAACCATCTCAGTCAATGTAATTTCACAGTCTCGTCCGCTGATTTCCCCGCCTTACCTAGCACTCGACGCAAGCCTAACCTCAATATTGCTCACCTTATTATACCACTTCACGCGGGAGATAGAACGCAGACACCTATGATCGAACACAGCTAATCTTTTCATGTCTTCCACTCTCAATGGCCAGGTCTCACAGCCATAAAGGAGGACGGAGCGGGCTGCTGAGCAGTACACACGCCCTTTAGTCGATAGTCGGATATGACGTCTACACCAGAGATGGCGTAAACTGGCATATGCGAGTAAAAACATAAAATAAAACATATTCGGGTAAAAACATAAAATTATGAAAATAATGAATGA